CCCCACCATGCCCGCCCTGCCCACCCTGCCCTGCAGCACCAGGGTCCTCCCCCGCCGCCCTCTCCTGCAGCTCCCCAGCCCCCATTCCCTCCTGCCACAGGGGCCATGCCCCTTGTCAATTTGGCATCTTTGCTCGATCTCCCCAACCCCCAGCTGCCCTCCAGACCCAACACAAATCCTGTTTTCACGACTGTCCTAGCAGTGGCCAAGTGGCTGGTCTGTGCTGGGTGCCTGGCCTCCTTTAACACTCATGACAACCCTTGTTACAGGTGAGGAAACCGAGGCACAGAGTAAAGAGAGAGCCAGGCGGTCCTGCCGCTGCCACTGCTCCAGGATTGTCCCTCCTCCGTGTTAGCGAGATGAGAATGAGGTGGTGTTCGTGCGTTCTTTGTTGGAGTGTCTTTGTCCCCAGGAGATGACAGCCCCTGGGGGGCAGAGACTGTTCCTCATCCCTCAACCTGGACGACCCTGGGGCACCCCCACCCGTGGGGCCTCCACTAGGTTTCCTACCCCCGGGGACACGGCCCAGGAACCTGACCCCTTCCAGCCCCGTCACTGTCATCCAGCTCCCTGTGGCTTTGGCCGTGAACATAGAGTGTGTTGTTTATCCTGGGCAGGGGACTGCTGGGTCCCGACTGTGCTGTCACGTCCTATCCGCCAGCTGCTCGTGCTGATCTGTGATTCTCAAGTTCTTGGGGCTCCCTCTTGTCTGTCCCCTTCCTTTTTGGAGGGAGGTGGGAAGAACAGACGTGCGAAGGTGAACTTACCGGGCCGCGTGTGCACCAGGACGTTTTCTGACAGCGTGTCTGTCGCCTCTGTCTCAACAGCTGAGGCCAGTGCCAGCTGCCAGCCAAGCAGTCAGCTTTGGCAGCGTGCAGCCCCTTTCCTGAAATATCGCACATTCCTCTCCAGTGAGTGGGGCGTAAAAATAGGTACCAGGCTCCACTGCGGTCTTTCTGTTTTTAGAGCAGGCGTGGCCAGCAGAGACCCATGTCCCCATGCTGGTGACCGATGCCCAGCCCGGCTGAGCCTCCCTGGGCTTCGTGAGCATTTGGGACATTGATGGGGTCGGGAGGCTGTCAGGGTGGCTGCAAGGAGAGGGGCTTCCTGATTTCCTCTCCCAGCTCCTCCGTATCAAAGACTGTGGCAGACCCTGAGTTGAACCCCCTGCCTGGCTTTCTGCCTATGGCCAGCGCCGGTGACCTGCCATCCAGGGCTGCCAGCTGCTGTGCCCTGGCTCCAGTTGCTTCGTGCGGCATGAGAGACCAACACGACCTTCCATCCCAACACCCTGCTCTTTTCCCACACCCGGACAGAATGGACTATTTTCCAGAAATAGGATCGCATCTGGGACTCCGCTGTCTTCCCACCGTCCCCCCGCCCTTCCCCGGCCCTGCAGCTGCTTGAGGGCCCAGGTAGCGGGTCTGCAGGGCTGCCCAGCTGGGCCCGCTTCCTTTTTAATAAAATGGGACTGCCGGTGCCCCTTGCCTCCTGGGGCTCTGGGAGGGGCTCACACACTGGGCGTCAGGTGCAGCCGTGGGTCTCGGCCCCATGCTGGGCATGTGGTATGTGCCCAGCAACTGCAGCTCCTGCTGTCGTCCAGCGGTGCAAGGTCCCACGTCGGCACCCAGCGTGGTGATCGGGGAGGACTGTCATTTTAAAGGCAACTTCAGTCATCCTTTATTGGCAAAATTGAGAACAACATACACATAGGAAAAAAGTCTTAGGAGAAAATGTTTGAGAGCATTTTTCTTCTCTAAGGTCATGTTCACCTCCGAAGCCCCAAACCTGTCACCACTGTTGGCGTGACCCTGTCTTCTAACCAGATGACACCCACCCTGGAGGGGCTGTCACAAGGCCTTGGTTACCCAAGACGCTTCTGTTTGAGAAGGTCACACCCAGTCAGTCCCCAAAGCAGCCAGAGAGCTGCGGTGACAGGTGTCTCCCTGGCATCTGTGGCTTGGGCCATGGCTGACCTCCACGTAGACAAAAGATTCATCCTCACCTTCCGGAAGCTTCTAAGCAAAGATGCCCACTGGAGAAATTGCTCATCTTTCAAGAGCCTGGGTCTGGCACAGAGCTCCGTTTTTACTAAAACTTCCTTACACTACAGTTTCCTGATCAGTGTCAGCTCTGTCCCGAGTCTCGGGCCCCACTTCCGAGTTGTGCTAATGATTTGCTTATTTAAGGAAACCACCATCTCTGTGCCTGCAGTCTCCTGTGCTGTGTGGAATTTGGAAATGCACAGAGCATTCAGAATGCTTCTCCCAGAGATAGTCCTTCCAGTGAGGTGGTGGATGTGCATATAGAAATCCCGCTGCCCACGCTCAGGCTCTCGGCCGGCTCCGTGGACACAGTACCAGCAGCCCGTGGCTTTCTGAACCTGCGGTGACGCCCAGCTGCGACTTCAGGCCTTGCAAACACGCAGCCCGAGTTGCAATCCCAGCTGCACTGTCTCCCAATGGATTAATGACCTAGGGCAATTTACGTAATCACCCCAAACCCCCATTTTTTCATTTGAGAATGAAAATAATTAAAAAGGCTACAGGCCTGATGCATCTGGGACAGCAGAGATCTACATTTGTTCTTAGCCGCAGCTCCTGGCAGAGCCAGTGCTTCGATGTCTGCTTTTTGGGTTTTATTTCCTGTGACACTGAGCTTCAGGGCAGCCTGGGCTGGTGACCGGAACCTGAGTTCTTTGTGGCCTCATGATCTCGTCTTCCGAGCTGGAGCAAAGACCTCTGGCCACCAGAAGCCGGGCTTTAGGAGAAGTCCCAGACTCAGAGAACACACACAGCCTGTGGTGTGTGCAGACAAAGCCGTATTTTCTTATCCTTGCCGTGACACACACGTCCCTGCTCACTGGAGAGAGTGGACAGTGCCGTTGTCTATAGAAACTTGAAAGAACTGAACGGCCTCTTGATTAAGTGAAGACATATGACGAAGGAATAAAGAGTGTGTTTTGTATGTTAAGTTAGCACCGTGTGGAATTATTATACTCAGTAACTGAAAATGCTACTCTGACGTATAGCTGATGGCATTAGAAAGGGGGCATCCTTAGAAAGCAGATTTGGTAGTATGCTTCTAAAACCATAAAAAAAGAAAGGTTTAAACCCTTTGTGTTTTGATGTTTCTGCAAATCTGTCTGAAGAAATGACCCCAGATAGCAGAGAGCTGTACGCGTGAAGATGCGCGTGGCAGCTGTCAGCGTCAGAACGGAGATTACAGATTGTCCCACCGTGAGACACGGCTCAGCAGGTGATGGGACAGCTACTGAATACAATACTTTACATGCATTATAAACAATGGGTATAGAGACCCTGCGTCAGGTCAGTATGGATGACGCTTGTGATTAAGTATAAAAGCTATACCCCAAATTACATGTCTGACAGGACCCAACCTCATAAAATGCGTAAATGGAAAAGGTCACACAAAAATACAAAAAGTCGTCGTGACGGGAGGGGAGGGTGATGACTGATTTTCTTCTATATCCCAAACTTTCCGTAATGCAGTTTTACTTATTATTTATTTATCGATAAAAGTGGAGAGGAGCAGGAGGGAGTGGACACGGTGGGGAGGAGATGTTTTCAGGATTGATTTTAGGCACGATTGAGAGGGCAGTTTGCTTGCTCTGCAGGGCTCGGAGGATGGCAGGCTGGGCATGTGCCGCCCTGAAGAGGTTTAGGTTTGCTGGCAGCGATTTGTTGGTCAGAGCAGGTCAGCAGTATCGTTTTAGGGAGGCCAGCATCCGGGTCAAGGAAAGAATTTGCGGCGCTCGGGTGGGCGCCTGCTGTGCTGGGTGCCGGGCCTCATCCTGCCCTCCGGGGGTATCACCACCTGAGGCTGGGGTCCGCCCCATCACCCACTGGGCAGCTCCTGGTTAGGAAGGTGCAGAGACCATGCTGGGGGAGGCAGGAGGGATGGCGAGGGCCAGGGGCCCCAGAGCTGCTGTAGCTTAGCGCATGGCAGGGCCTTGGCATCAGGGCTTCTGGTGCATTCCGGGTGGCTGAGGACAGACAGAAAGTTCCAGCACGTTACTGCTGGTGTTGGTACCGTGCTGGAGAGGGGCTGCATGTCACGGTCAACTCTAAGGGCGCTCTCTGTTTTCTCTCCTTCCCATGCCCGCTGCAGAGCCAGATGGAGTTCAGCATCTCCTCGCTGCCCGTCCAGGAGCCGGGCACCGCCGCCAGCGAGCCCAGGCCGCTGTCCAAAGCCTTGCAGGGCTCGCAGGCCCTCAAGGGCTCCCAGGGCAGCCGGTCGTCCAGCCTGGACGCGCTGGGGCCCGCCCGCAAGGAGGAGGAGGCGTCCTTCTGGAAGGTCAACGCTGAGCGGTCCCGCGGGGAGGGCCCCGAGGCCGAGTTCCAGTCGCTGACCCCCAGCCAGATCAAGTCCATGGAGAGAGGGGAGAAGGCCCTGCCCGCCTGTCACCGGCCAGAGCCCACCCTGAAGGACAGGGAGGCCAAGGTGGACAGGCCCGGCGCTGTCCCCCAGGAGCCACGTGAGTGGGCCCCTGCTGTCCAGGGCCCTGGTGAGGCATGGCCCGAGGCTGCCCTGGCCGAGCCCACCGGGAAGCTGCCGACCTCCGAGGACAGGCAGGATGACGGGGAGGATGTCCTGTTTGCAGACCCCGTGCCCGTACAGGTGAGTGGTGCTTCTTCCAGGGGCGACGGGCCCTGATTCCTTCTGCACATGCCCCCCCCGACTCCTGCCCTCCCCGCCTCTTCCTTGAAGGGCTTTGGGGTCAGGGGCCATGGATACATATGCCACGAGATGAGCTTGCAGTTCCGTCCCGGTGCTGTGACCTGCTTCCTGTTGGTGGCCCACATGACGTGTCCCCTCCTGGGTGTGAGCACAGGCAGCTCACGAGAGAAGGTGCACAGCGTGGGGGGCCTGGGAGTCGAGCGCTAATGAGGAAGGGACCCTGGAGCCTCCTCCAGGAGCGTCACCGCAGGGGACTCTTGCTGAATGCCCAGGCAGGACGGAGTCAGGGGTCCAGAGTTCTCTCCAGGGGACAGAGGAGCAGGAGGAAGACCTGGGTCCCTGGAGAGGTGGGCGGATCCTGGGGAAAGCAGGACCCATGAGAGAAAGAGTCACCCGGTAGCCTGTGTCTGGGTCCCGTGTCCTGGAGTGGGGACCGTGTTCTGCACCAGGCGGCCTGGGGTGCTTGGGACGTTGAGACAGCAGAGAGAAGACAAAATGTTTGTGGATGACTTTAAATGGCTCTAGTGTTGGAGGATTACACGAAACTGAGAAGAGAAAGATGCTCATCGCACTTGAGAGGGCGGCCTCGGCTTAGGCGCCTGTTTCAGGACAAGCGTGTTTCTGGGGAATTGTGACCATGCATCCAGCCCACCATCTGCAAGACTCCTCTGTCCACTCTGGGGATGGCTCTTTGTGGCCCGGGACAGCCACATCTCCCGGCCATTTGGAGCCTGTCTGGAGGGGGCAGGTGCTGGCTGAGTCCTGAGAGGGTGTAGGGAGGACGCGAGGTCCCCTGTTCCCGGGAGCGCTCCTCAGCGGCGCTGGCCTGAGATGGGGCCGTGTGGTGACAGGAACCCTATCGTCCTCAGACACACACGCCACTTCCCACATGGCCTGCAGGCTCTGCACCCAGAGGGCCACCACGGCTCCAGGCGGTCTTAGGCCTTTGCTTGGTGGGGGAGCTGCCCCCAGCCAGCAGCCCGTCCTTGGGATTGGGTCTGGATTTGGGTGGGGGGAGCCGCCTGCTGGCAAGGCAGGCAGGCACACGGCGGGGTCCCACTGGGTGCCCCCTGCACGGGGCCTTGCTGGCCTCCTGGCTGCCTGGCTGGTGGGGCCAGGATGTGCTTTCCTCCACGTCCCTGTCATCCAGCCTCCTCTGTCCCTTGGGATTCCTCGGCTGTCTTGTGGTCACGTTTCTTTTGGTTTCTTTATGTATTTTAAAAGCTTTTTATTGTGGCAAAATTCACACATTTTTGCCATTTTAGCCATTTTAGAGAGTAAATTCAGTGGCATTAAGTGCCTTCTCAGTGTTGTGCGACCGTCACTGCCACACATCTCCAGAAGTCTTTCATCCTCCCAGACGGAAACTCTGTCCCCCGTACACGCCAACGCCCTCACCAGGCCACCCCCGCTGTCCTTCAGCCCCTGACAACCCCCGTTGTAATTCCTGTCTGTGAATCTGGCTGCTCTGGGGACCTCATGTAAGTGGGTCACACGGCACCTGTCCTTTTGTGCCTGGCTTATGTCCCTCAGTGCAGTGTCCTCACGGTCCGTGTTGGAGTGTGTTGGGATTCCCTTCCTGTAAGGCTGGTGGTGTTCCACTGTGTGGAGGGACCATGTTTTGCTTGTCACCCATCGCTGACAGACCCTTGGGCCGCCTCCACCTTCTGGCTCTTGTGAGTAGCGCTGCTCTGAACCCGTGTGTGCGACTCTGTCCTCGAGACCCTGCGTTCAGTTCTGTGGGGTCCGTGCCTGTGGTGGCGTCGCTGGGGCCCGTGGTGACTGCGTTGGTACTTTGCAGGAAGCGCCCCGCTGTTTTCCGCAGTGCTGCCCCAGCTGATGTCCCCGGCGGTGGCTTGGGGCCCCTTTTCCCCAGCTCCTCCCCAGCAGGTGCTGCTTGTGTGTCTTGGATGGCAGCCACCCTGATGGTTGTGCGGTGGCATCTTGGGGTGGATGCGAGCATCTTCTCGTGCACTTGGTGGCCATCTGTGTATCTTTGAGAAATGTCATTCAGATCCCTTGCCCATGCGTTCACGGGGTTGTTTGTTCTTTTGTCATTGAGCTGTGGTCATCTCCTAATGACTGGGTGTTTCCTGGAGGGTGTGTCCCCGCCTGCCTTATGGATGACCTCGTCTGCCATCCTCTGGAGGAAGGGGAGCCTCTAGTGCCTTCCGCCTTCCATCAGCCGCACGTCAGCGTTGTGGCCTGTCCTCTTCCTCACATTAGTCCCCCATCTGGAGCATGTCACCTGCACCGGCACCCTGCCCACCCCACTGGTGTGTTCTTTCTCGAACCCTCCTGCCCATCGGCTCCCTCTTGCAGACGGGCCCAGCTCGCCCCTGTCCCCCAGTGTCTTTCTCCGAGACTCTGCAGCCGGGTCTTCCCTCAAGTCTCGATTGTAAGAGTCACAGGAAAGTGTGTGTGGTGGGGGCAGGGAAAGGAGAGAGCTCACGAGGTCCCTGAGAAAGAAGGGATTTCTGAGAGGACAGCGCAGAGGCAGCTGCCACCGCATTCTAGAAACTGGAGGGAAACCAGGAAAAGGGACACTTGCCAGAACTCTGCTTTCCCTGCATTGGTGCATGTGGCATCGGGCTCAGACAGGCTCCCAGGGTGGGCCACCAGCTCCGGGGCCTCTGGGGCCTCCACGCGAGCATTCGTGCTTGGTGCCACGTGGGGGGTGGGCGTCAAGGTTTCTCCCGCCAGGGGACACCTGCTTGGGTTAGTCTGGAGACCATGGCAGCTTGAAGCACAGGCCGCTGCGTAGAAGCCATCGGGGGGGCTTGTGAGCACACCAGCCTCAAGGGATGACCACAGAGGGGCCCCATAGGATGGCCCCACTGCCCTGGAAATGGAGAACATTCCTGGATCTGGGGAAATCACTCTGTGACCTTGACATAATCCGAAAGAAGGAAGCGTCAGGTTCTTTCCCCACGTTTTTTCTCTCAGCTCAGTGTGTGTGTTTTTGTTTTGCGTGTCTGCGTGTGTGTGTGTTTCACGTTAGAAAGAACATCTTTATAACTTGTTCTCGTATTTTGTGGTGACTAAATTGGAGCACGTCTGTCATTCAGAACAGGACAGATGTACAGGACCGGAGAAGCGCACCGTTTCCTTTTCCCTGCACTTTTCCAGGTCTCAGCCGCTGTGGACGTGCCTGCGGTGCAGTGGGGTTAGTGACGGGGCCCGCACAGGGCCACGCGTGTAAAATTTTCTGTAATTTTCTCAGCCCGGGTGCAAAGGTAAATTAAGGTCAGGGAGCTGCTGAGACAGAACCAGGCTGGGTCTCTTGGGTCATTTTAAATGAGGTGCTGTTTTTAGATTACGCGTCACTGAGAAACACGTTCGTGCCTGACATCAGTATTTTTTGTCCCTCTGCAGGTCAGCTCGAGTAACATCGTCCTGAAGACGGGCTTTGATTTTCTGGACAATTGGTAAAATGTGTTCGGTGGAAAAATGAAACTAAGAACCCCAAAGTGTTCTCCAAAGTGGTGTGGCAAAGGAGGGTGCAAAGGGCAACGTTTCTTTGTGTATTTTCCTGGTTTCTCTACAGTCTTTTCTTAATCATTTGGAAACCAGTCAGTATTGCCAGATTTTTCCTTTTTTTGGTAAAACCATACATACGTGCTATTTTCAATGATTTGATAACAGAAGTTTTACATTTAGAATTTTTAAGGACTGTTCAGAATTTAATAAATCTTGTAAATAAAACTTCTGTTCCCAGTTTCCCCCGTCCTCAAAGGGAGTTTTCTCAGCCAAGTCAGAAAAATCGTAAAAGTGATTTCCGTCTCTGTTCCCCCACCGCCTTTTTGACTGCGTGGGGTTCCCTTTGATGGTGGACTGATGGGGACGTCCTCAGTCATGACGACATTGTCCCCGGCGCAGCTCCCACCACGCACCTGTGGCCGTCCAGGCCTTCTCCTGCCAACGGCGCGTCTCTCCACCACGTGCCCCGCACCCCACCCTGTGTCATTTCCAGGAAACAGACCGCTGGCACGTGGCAGATGTCCTCTTCAGACTGCCCCTATGCTTAGTCTGGGTGTGGCTCGTGTTTAAAAGAGTGGCACGTTTAAAAGTTTCGTATTAACTTTTCCTTATGTTGTATGTAGATTAGCAGCTGTGGGGTCACCACTTTTCTTGGTTTGTACCAGTTTTCTTTTGCAAATTCTTCCTCCTTCTGTGACCTGTCGTTTGTTGCCTGTACCTGGCGCCTGCAGGAGTCAGGGCAGACGGCAGGCGCTGCTGGGGACGGGGCTCTTCTGATTAGTCGTGTTAGAACCTTCCAGCACGAGACTGCCAGGCAGCGGACGTCTGTCACCCCAAGGACTGCTCAGGCTGCATCGTGGCAGACCCTCCCCCAACCCTGACAACCACCAGAAATGGAAGAGTGGTTTCTGGTCTCCGCAGCAGTGCCTCCTGGAGACCTTTGTCACCACAGAGGTATGGACATTGGCGTAGACTCCGCGGCTGCCCTGCAGAGCAAGGTGACCATGTCCCAGACCACCTAGGGGACCCGTGAGCTTCGCGAGCCTGCAGGAGGTGCTGAACCAGCAGAGCTGCACCCTGTCCAGTGTGACCTGCGCCACGTGTCGCTGTGTTTCCTCACCTGAAGCCTTAACCCCTGCGAGTCCTGCCAATGAGCCCTTGGTTTCAATACCAAAGTGTGTCTTTTTTCTTTTTTTAATGCCCTTTTCCTAGGACTTTCTGAAATGATTTCCAGAATATCTGACCTGGCTCCAGGGTAAAGCACGTGGCAACCCCTCCCCCGCCGCCCCTGCTGCCTTCCTGCCTGGGGAGGTTTCTGCCAGGGCTGTGGTGTGGCCTCTGTTTGATTTGGTCCCCGACAACTGCTTTGTGTCCGTAAACCTCATTTGGTCCCTTGGGGCATGGGATTTACCTTCCTCCTTTAGGGACTGACCGTAACTTACAAATACAGGTTCATTACGTTGCATTTAAGTATAGTTGATGTGGGTAGAAAGGTTCCCAGCTGGCGATGAGGGAAGGAGCTCACGAGTCCCAGTGGCACAGGCTGAGCGGGGATCAGGGGCCTCCACTGCCTTCCCGAGGACTCGGGAGCGCGCACTGTGAGCGGCGTTCCTTGGAGAGGTCTGGTCAGGACGGCTGATCAAGGCCGTCTGTCTGTCCTCTTGGGAGAAATGCTTACTCCTTTCCCACTTTCTCATGAAGCCCATTGTTGCCTTCAAGTTCTCCCCGGAGCTGAGGGGTGTGGGGGTCACTGAAAGCTCCTGCCTC